GCATGTTCCTAAACAATCTCATGGATTGTCTCCTGGCAATAATTGAATCTTCAGCAGGGCATGTGTCCCACCAAGAGTGCTGATATCAGATACAACTTTTAACCCAGGGTGTCTCATTTTTCTCCCAAAACAGACTACATCTGTGTAGTGTGTACTGGACCTCCTTAACTCTGGTCACAGAAAACCTCCAAACACAGTTTTGTGATACAGTCTTGTGGTATCTATCACAGCTTTCTAAGGGGACAAGCAAAACTAGGAAAGTACTTAATGATTTTAACTGTTTTACTGGTGGCTGCAGCCTCTGAAGACAGCTCCTGTTCTGTCCTCTTGCTTCCTTTTTCAGCATAGCCACATCCTGCACTGGAGCCAATTAGGCTGGCTCCACTTCCCACTTCCAGCTGTTCCTCAGGCATCCAAACTCATCTCTGTAATAAAGTCTGGACATCTGTGGCAGCAGCTGGGAGCAGGCAAGGAGAGCCAGGGTTTTGAGGCCTGCCAGCTCTCTGTCTAGTGGTCTGAAGCCTCACTGTGTGGTACACACCCAAGCTTGGAGGATGGCTGCCTCTGGCATCCCGGTCCTCCTCGGGCCAGCACTGGCCTGGGCTTGCTGGGTGCTGGTGTGGCAGGGAGCAGGGCACATGGGATGCTGCTTGTACCCTCTCGCATGCTCAGCATCTGGGGGTTCACCAGTCTTGGACTGCAGAGGCAATGATTTCATCAGTGCGTGATTCTGTTTGGCCTCAGGTAAAGGTATTTTCAGTGGTGGATGCAAAAGTACAAACAGAAGGATAAATAAAGTGGATCTGGCTCACTGGGTGTGCTGACAGTTTCAGAGGGCTGGGTGCAGATAGAAACTGCAGACCCAAACATGTTGGAACCGGTCTGCCAGAACCAACAGAGGCTAACCACCCCTCCACTTGTCTTCTAAAGCACACAGGAGAGAAGGGGATAAAAATAAAACCCACTTCCTTTTAGTGAAAGTGCATGCTGGTTATGGTGCGTGTAATCTGCATTGGCTGAATTTGCTTTAAGGGCAGAGATTCATGCACTGCTGGTCTTTCACAGAGTCTAGCTGCTGAATGAACTGTCAAGCCACCCGCTGCAAATCCTTCATAAGCATACCCACTGGTACATCTTTCAACAAATATAAATAGGTCAATTAAAAAAATGAACATGTGCAGTTGTAAGACCCCAGGTTGGAGCTCCAAGATCATCAAAGAGGTTTTACTTTAAATATACACAATGCTCCAAAAATCTGATCACCATATTTTTTAAAAGGGTCTTCAGTTCTTTTATATCTAGAGAGAGCACACGGGAGAAGACACTGCATATGTTTCTCAGGAGGTCAAATAGCACACTATTACTGACAAACTTTAGAAAGTAATGGAGTTTGTAAAAGTTTAAAGGGGAACATTTAACCAAATTAAAGCATTTCACAAAGAAATGACTTCGCACATGCTAACCCATATAACTTAGCAAAATCCAACCCATCCAACTTTAAGTTACCCAAATATCAAGAAAGGAGATTAGGAGAAAAATAAAAAGTAAAGAAAGAGAGAGAAAAGGAGAGAATTATAGATACCATGCCAGATCCAGCATAGATCCAGCTACCCGGAGTCCAGGAAATGGTGGGGCCGCAACCAAGTGGTAGCCACATGGTGTTGGTTTTATCTTCTCTGGTCCTCTGTGGTCACCCTCCCAGGTGGGACTTCTGGCCCACTGACCACCCTGGAGCTCCGGGGCAGAGTATGGGGCAGTGCTCCTGGTATGCCAGTGACTGACAGCTGCACCAGAGCTGCCCAAGGAGGCTCCAAGAGGTTGGTTTGGGGCAGGGCACCATTTAACTTGTGTGAAATTTGACCTGTCCCTTCCCCCCCCACACACATACTTCTTGGTCTGAGCAAATAATTAATATAATAATCCACTGTGTCACAGGAGTATTGTTAACTTTTTTTCTTTCTAGGCAGCAATTAGTTTTTTGCACATGTGTGTTCAAACATAGTCTTGCCAGTGGCTACCATTGGGAAACACCCCTTCCTCTTCTGCTGGGAAGCTTTTTGTTGGCCCTAATGGGTGTAACAGGGTTTCAGGAATTGATGGGTCTGTAAATTCATGTGCTTACTTTCCTCTGCCTCCCTCTTCATCAGTATAGAGGACTATGAAGGATTTTAAAGGTTTCTACAAGATTTCATCTGCATTTCAAGGCACATGGACACAAGGTCTTGCTATTGCTATCCCATACACTTTGCCTGTATTAATTGGACTAGGGATGGGTATGCTCATACAGAGAAGGTAAACTGGGGGAAACCTCAAGAGAAGTGAACTTCAGAGGTATGAAAGATGAGTGTCCTGCTCTGGACCTTTAGATGAAGTTCCTTTGCTCTAAAAGGGTATAAAACTTGCATAGGTACATATTACTGAACCCCTAATCAGACCTGACTTATGAAAATATCACTGAACTCATATAATCAGTACTAGTTTTTAAGCCCTGGATTATTATATTATTTTCTTCCTATAGTTTCTATTTGGTGACCTGTGACTTACATTACTTTTTCTGCTTCCTTGCCAGTGAAACTTTTAAATGGAAGAATAGTAAAAAGCATTGTAGAAGATAGTGGTTTCTTAGTGCACAGGTGTCATTGCTCCTATTCAGAAAATGTGTGTCCTGACTGCAGGTGTTTGTGAAAATAAAAGATTGATAAAGGCACCTGACTAAAAAAATAAATTGAGTATTTCAAAGTTGATAGCTGCAAAAAAGACTGAATGACATTCAGCTCAACTTACAATAGAGACCACAGCACAAGATACTGTTAATGTTTATGAAGAACTAAATTGTTTACCTTTTGAATTAAAAAAAAATAAATTCTGGGGTTTTTCTATCAGGTTCAGATATCCCAAGATGGCATTACATTAAACTGGTTTTCATCTGAGAGGCCAAAGTTCAAAGCTTTTCTATGATATTTTTTGATGTACTGATTTTTAGCTAGTGTTGAAAAAGTTTTGCTTGGGAATCCTGTAAGAATCTTAGAGCTAATCCTACTAAGAATATTTTGTCCCCTCACATACTAAAATGATCTTGAAATGACATGTGTGATTAAATTTGTTCTTTCATGCTCTTCACAGGGAAAAATAATAACTTGGTGCACACGTGTCTTCTGCTGGAAACCTTTAGCAAAGCTAATTTGGCTCTGTAGTGTAATGAAACAAAATTATTCTTTACCTTACTTGTTGTTGTTGTTGAAAGAAATAATTAAGGTTAAATTAGCAGGACCTGAGGGAGGAAAACCAACTGCTTTTCTGTGTACTTTAAAATTTGTCTTTGGACTTCCTGATATACTCAGCAAGGTTTTTAAATCAATGTTTAAATAGGAAAATGTCCTGATCAGCTGAAAAACCTTGTGTTTCTGAAAGACATTTATAGAAAAAACTCCTGACTATTTCACAATTAAGTGCATACTGCAGTCATTGAAAACATGTTCCATATGTTTCCTTGGGGGTTAAGCTTTTACATCTAGATACTGAAGTGCAAATAGAATTGCTTTAATAAAAGGCAGGGAGAAACAGAGAACCTGGATACCACAACAACTTCTACAATAAGCAGGTTATCTGGAAATACAACACTGTATTTCCATGGCGAGCATGGGACAAGGGATGGAATCCTGCTGAGGGCAGGAAGAGAGCAGTGGGCTGGAGTTCAGACTGCAAAAAACTGTAAGGGTCTGAAGATACACCTGCCAAGAACATTTTCATTCTACATGTAAATCAACTGGTCAGAGTAGGTTAATTTTCTTCCCAGGTTAGAGGTCAGGCAAACTTCCTGACTTATGAAGCATGCTATAGCTGCAGACTCGAGCTTCAGGTCACCATTTTTCCGAGTCTGCTGCCACTGCCTGCTGATGTTATCAGCCTGAGCTTGGCAACTGCCCTGTCCATCCCTTCCACTAAAAACCACTGCTATTTCTCCTCTCAGCTTACCTTTTGCTCTGTCCTTATTAACTTGTAGTAATAAAAGAACAAGTGGAAGCAACTGATGATTTCAAACTTGTCTGTCAGGCTGTGGCTGTCAGGCTGAGGCTCCAGGACTTAAAATTTCTCCCATGCTGTTGCACACTGTACATACACTTGCAAAAGGGATGATGAAAGACTGTGAATAATCCTGGGGAGGTATATTGGCCCTCACCCAACTGATCTTCTAGGCTTTCTACTAGTTGAAAATCTGAAATCGAAATCTAAGTTGTCTAATTGAGAGAATGAGAGGAGAAATCAGTTGGTTCCTCATAGTTTTTCCTTAGAGAAAAAGGGTGTCTTGGTGGGACATGTGATGTACAGAGCTCAAATGATTGGGCCAGTGAAAGCTGTAGTCTGAAATAACAAGAGCAAGGATGCCTTTTTCTCCCTCCTTTTGGTGCAATGTAATTGTTATACAAAATATAACTATTTCATATATGTATTACCCAGTGGAGTTATTTTTACAATGAAATTAGCTGTGGTACCAACTGGTGAATCTTCACAAAATCAGGAGATTTTGGTAGCAATCTCTTGGGCAGTGGCACTATATTCACAAACTGTATAGTTAGGGCATATATACACAAACTGTATAGTTAGGATGTCAAGGTGAATTTAAGTATCCTAAGTCTATATAGATTTTATTTAACTTCATGACTTTCATGTGAGTAAGGAAAGAAGAAGAAGAGAGAAGGAGTCTCACTGGAAGAGATGTTGCTGGCATTGGTTTTGATGTGGTCTTCATAAATATACGTAGACTTCTCCTTTAGGGAAACAGGAATATCGACTGCATTATATATCAATGCTCTCTAGAAAACTGAATGTATGGTGACATTTCTGTGGATATTACACTTTTATTAGAGAAGAGTATGAAGTTCTTCTGCATATAGTTATCGTGACAGAAGGCTTCAGATAGACGAAATCTGTTGATGTGTAGGATTCATTTTTTAAAAAAGTACATAGGCATGTGATTATCTGGAAATTTTCTGTAAGACCTTCCATTGGCTTCCATCGGTGTGGTATCGGAGGTAGATACCATTTTCTTTGTCGAGCTTTGCAGTGACCCTTTGGAGCATCATGCTGAAGAAGATTGTGAATAGGGTTGGAACAAGAACGCAGCCTTGTTTCACACCATTAGTTATTAGAAAGGGTTCAGAAAGTGCATTGCCATATCTGACTTGGCTGTGCTGATCCTCATGAAGTGAAATGATCATTTTAAGGAACTTGGGAGGACATCCTAAATGATCCAAAATCTACCAGAGACCTTTTCTGCTCACAGTATCGAAAGCCTTGGTGAGATCAACAAAGGTTACAAAGAGACCTTTGTTCTGTTCCCTACACTTCTCTTGCAGTTGTCTGAGAACAAATACCATGTCTGTGGTACTCCTGTTGGCTCTGAAGCCATGATAGCTTTCAGGTAGAATTCCTTCTGCAATAGCGGGTATTAGTCTGTTCAAGAGTATTCTTGCCAGGATTTTGCCAGCAATGGAGAGCAGAGTAATACCACGGTAATTTGAACAGTCTGATTTATCTCCTTTCTTCTTATACAAAGTGATGATGACTGCGTCACGAAGGTCTGATGGTGGTTTGCCTTGTTGCCAACAGCGCACCACAAACTCTTGAAATTCAGCATGGAGTGCTTGGCCCCCATGTTTCCAGACTTCAGGTGGAATTCCATCAACCCCAGCACGTTGCAGATAATCCTCACTTTTAACATATATCTCTTGGTTTGTATCACAATATAATTTTGCATAGTAAGGAAAAGAAGAAAAGAACCCAAATTGTCATAGTCCTTGAAAATCTTATTAGCCTTATTAGCCTTATTTAACAAAGCAATCATTGTGCAATGCCCTTTTCCTGTAAATTTAATTTTAAAATACCATTTTTGGTTAATTTTTTTTAATCTACTGTTTTAGACATTGAAAAATGTCAGCCTCAGCCATTCCTGATTTCCTACACTTTGCAAGCACTGTATATAACTCTTGGGAGTATAATATACTTATAAGCAATGTCAGGATATCAAAATATATTGTAGAATGACAGATTTGAGGCCTCTCTCTAAATTAAATATGGACTGAACAAGGTTTTATGTTACAAGTATATTAATGAGCTTGTATTGCTTCTCCTTCAATTTTTGTGATTTTAAAAGTATGCCTCGAAGGAAAATTTTAGGAGAATTAAAAGATGCTTTTGCAATGGCAAAAACTGTGTTTTCACCTAAGTCACTGCAGGGGCTTCAAAACCCTTAGAGGGTTTTACCCTTTTGAAAGAAAAATTATTGGGAAGTTTTAGACTTTCAAACCATATTCTCATGTAAAATAAAAATGATACAATTTTAAGTTTTTACCCACCTTAGGCAATGAAACACCAATAATTAAAAGTTCTAAACAGTTGTTTGTGGGACCAGTGTTCAAAGGTACATTTAACATCATGGCTAGGCTTTGTGAATGAAGATTCAAATGTAGATACCGTCCTGATCATCGAGGTCTGCCGTGGCCCTTTGGAGCATCATGCTGAAAAAGACTGTGAATAGGGTAGGAGCGAGAATGCAGCCTTGTTTCACACCATTGGTAATTAGAAAGGGCTCAGAAAGTGCATTGCCATATCTGACTTGGCCATGCTGATCCTCATGGAGTGAGATGATCATTTTAAGGAATATAGGGGGACAACCTAAAATTTCCAAAATCTGCCAGAGACATTTTCTGCTCACAGTATCGAAAGCCTTGGTGAGATCAACAAAGGTTACAAAGAGACCTTTGTTCTGTTCCCTACACTTCTCTTGCAGTTGTCTGAGAACAAATACCATGTCTGTGGTACTCCTGTTGGCTCTGAAACCACACTGACTTTCCAGTAGAATTCCTTCTGCTATAGTGGGTATTAGTCTGTTCAAGAGTATTCTTGCCAGGATTTTGTTAGCAATGGAGAGCAGAGTAATACCACGGTAATTTGAGCAATCAGATTTATTTCCTTTCTTCTTATACAAAGTGATGATGACTGCATCACGAAGGTCTGATGGTAGTTCGCCGAGCTCCCAACAGCGCACCACAAACTCGTGAAATTTAGCATGGAGTGCTTGGCCCCCATGTTTCCAGACTTCAGGTGGAATTCCATTAACCCCAGCTGCCTTGCTGATTTTTACCTGCTGTATGGCCTTGAGGGTTTCTCCTAAAGTGGGGGCAGTATCCAATTCATACTTTACTGGTTGTTGTGTGATGGACTGAATGGCTGTGTCTTGGATTACACGGTTGGTACTGAAGAGAGTCTGAAAGTGTTCAGATCATCGATTCAAAATGGAAGTTTTATCTTTAGAAGCATTTGAGCATCTGCACTGAGTAGAGGGCTTTGGACTTGGTATGTAGGCCCGTATGCTGTTTTCAGGGCCTCATAGAATCCTCTGTGATCACCCATATCTGCACATAATTGAGTTTTTACAGCTAGATCGATCCACCACTTGTTCTGGATGTCACGGAGTTTCTGTTGGAGCTTTCTGCATGCAAGACGAAAGGCTGTTTTTCTTGCTTGACAGGCTGGCAGTGCAAGGTGTGCTTGGTGGGTGGTTCTCTTCTTCCTCAACAAATCCTGGATTTCTTGATTGTTTTCATCAAACTAGTCCTTGTTCTTCTTGAGGGAGAACCCCAAGGTTTCTTCAGAGGACTGCAGGATGCTGTTTTTCATATGGTGCCAAATTGTTTCAGGAGAGGAATCTGAAGGATTTAACATCTATGTGTAAAAAACGTTTAGTTTTTTTAATTCACAGGATACAGGATTCATTGTCTGAGGAAACACATCTTTATATGCCAACTGCAATCACATTCCTGTTAGTCTATAAATGTCTCCTTTTGTAGCCTCCTGTCCGTATCTGTTTCAACAGTTTCCACTGGATAAAGATATCACCTATTTCTGCAGGTCAAATAATCCTTAGAAGTCAGAATAGTCTAAGGGAGCAGTGCACTTCTTATTTGGGTGATTGTATCAGAAATCAAAGCTGTAAGTTACCTTCTAAAATCAGATGCACAGAGGCTGGATTTTGTAGGCAGTGTGATCAGTTATTTGCACGTTTCTTTCCTTTTGCCTCATAGCAAGGTGTTTTGTCTTGGAGATGAAATAAGCAAGGGCTAAACTAATTAACTAACCAGCAGTGATCTACAGTCTCAGCACCTCACATTCCTGAAGATTTATCCCATTTTGAATTCACTGCCATTTCCCTCCAGGGAAATAAAGATTGCTGCCTATTAAAGATGGGGACAGAAAAAGGCACCTTTACTGGAGACAGTCTGTACAAGAAAATAATACTGTAATCATTCCCTCCAATCAGCTGAAAAGGATTAAATCTTCTGCTTCTAAAGTAATGTTCCAATTGAGCCTTGGGGAAGAATAATTCATGATTAGGAAGAAGGCTGGTCTAGCAAATGTGAACATTATGTCCATTACTTAAACACACTTCCTGGGCTGACTGCTAATGTACCCAGGGGATCTTGCAGCAGCAGCAGCTGATAGAAGCAATGAAATAGGCTGACAAGGACAAGAAGTATTATCATCTGCATTCAACAACACTACATAGACTTTACCACTGTTAAATCACTGCCTTTGGTAAATAGCCCAGATAATTCATTTTAATAGAAGAATTCTTCTCTTCTTTATGTGTATTAAACAACAGACTCTTATGAGCTGTGGCAGTGTATTGATTCCTGGGAAAGGCAGCATGAATTCCAATTCTGTAATTTATGCTGTTTTGTGGCTCTGGCTGTATTTGTTATGCATAGTGTATTAAACATTCAATAGCTCAATTTAATCTTTGCAGCCAAATTGTGCAGCATATCATGCCAGATAGTGGTTGTTTCATATACACAGCCCATCTGCTTCCTGTTCTATAATTCATTCAGCAGGCAAAGTTTCTGGCAGCCTCAGGCTACCATACATACATACATACATACATACATACATATATATATACATATATATGTGTGTTTTTATACACATACATACACGTACATGCAAACTTACCTGAGGGTATCAGAAGTCTTTGACCCTCCCTTATTATTTATTTAAAAGGAATTTTAGGAGTAGTATTCCCAACTTCATCTCTGTCAGTGTTTTCAGAAGCTGCTGGTAATTCAAAGTGGGAAAGGCTAAACAAAACAAAGCACTGTTTTTAGTCCAGGAAAAACAACTCTTTCTAGATAGCTCCCAGGGCACACTAGTCCTAAGGATATGGCTATTCTGTAGCCTTAAGCTATACTTTTGCTGTTATATTTCAGATGTCCTATTTGCTTTGTGTCTATCCATTGTGTACACATTCAGTTCATGGCTAGGCTTCGCGAACGAAGATTTGGGAAGGCTCTATCCACATTTGCTGCAGGCACGCTGGTGGCTTATGAGGCCAATACGTGACAGACAAATCCGATTGCAAAAGGCACAGCAGAAAGACTCCTTAGATGGTGTATTCTGCAATACACGGTTCTTTCTGCGTTGCCTTTTTTCCTCGAGGGTGATCCTGCGTGTGTTCTCAAAGGAGACAGCTGCGTTATAGATGGTGTGTCTCCAGGCCTCCCGATTTGATGCCAGAGTAGACCAGTTATGGTGATCAATATGGCCAAGGTTGAGATGTTGTTTCAGGGAGTCCTTGTATCTTTTCTTCGGGGCTCCTCTCATGCGGCAGCCAGTGGCAAGTTCACCGTAAAGCAAGATCTTAGGGAGGCGGTGGTCCTTCATCCTGGAGACATGACCTGCCCAACGCAGCTGTGTTCTCATCAGCATGGCCTCGATACTTGTGATAGCTGCTTGCTCTAGAACAGATGTATTGGTCACATAGTCTGACCAGTGGATGTTTAGAATTGTACGGAGGCAGCGTTGATGGAAGCGTTCTAAGAGACGCAGGTGGTGGCGGTAGATGACCCATGATTCAGATCCATATAAGAGAGTAGACAACACTATGGCTTTGTAAACACTGATCTTGGTGCTTTTCTTCAAGTGTTTATTACGCCATACTCTTTTATGGAGTTTTCCAAAAGCACTATATGCCTTTGCTAATCTGTTGTCTATCTCTCCGTCAATCTTACCATCTGAGGAGATGAGGCTACCGAGGTAATTAAACTGTTGGACTGATTTGAGCTCTGATTGACCAATGGTGATGTGGGGATGATGGGGGACATCCTGAGGTGCAGGCTGATGGAGGACCTCTGTCTTCTTTAAGCTGACCTCCAGACCAAAGAGCTCAGCAGCATCTGCAAAGCAGGATGTTAAACGCTGCAGAGCTGCTTCTGTGTGGGCAACAAGGGCGGCGTCATCAGCATAAAGCAGCTCCCGGACAAGATGGTTTAAGGTCTTAGTGTGGGCCTTCAGTCGCCTTAGATTGAATAGACTTCCATCAGTACGGTATCGAATGTAGATACCGTCCTGATCATTGAGGTCTGCTGTGGCCCTTTGGAGCATCATGCTAAAGAAGACGGTGAATAGGGTAGGAGCGAGAACGCAGCCTTGTTTCACACCATTCTTAATTAAAAAGGGCTCAGAAAGTGCATTGCCATATCTGACTTGGCCATGC